CATCCACAGCACTTATTGGTTAATGTTAATTTATATACATTGTAAAATCAGTTAAGTGATGTGTCACATATGTGACATTTTTATATTAGGGTTAAGTTAACTCTATTGTAGCATTTTTCTCTCTCTGTATCAGCTGCAATACTTACACATTTGCTTTAGTCGTTCAGAGATCTTGCCTTCATGTCACAGCAGCACATAGAAACAGAAACGAGATGATTATAAGTGAATGAACAGAATGAAGTTCTCTGACCTCTTTTTAAAAAATTAAAAAAATTTTTTTACAGAAACTCTAAATGATTATGCATTTTCATACATAGTTGTCATGGTTTAGTTCTATTTAAATTCCATTATAAAAATGCTTGATTGACTAATATTTCTTACATTTTTCTTATTTCAGTCACATTACACTTACATCTTATTTCAAGTATAAAATATAAAGTTTGTTAGCCAATGGTGACTATAGAGGTTGATTTGTAATTTATATATTTTTTAACATAATAACAGTCCAAGGAACAACAGGGCTACGATTTTAGGCCAACTACTGATAAAGTTATATATAGTTTTGTAAGATTAAATAGAAGAACAACAAAACACACGTTTAAAAAAAAAATATGAACATTGAATATGAAAAACTATACTGTAACTGTACAGTTTTAACTGTACACTTAAACTTTACAGTAGCACAATAAAGCACATTTTTTCTCTGCATCAGTTTTAATACTTACGCAATTCTTTTTCACAGTCCTCCGCTTCATGTCACAGCAGCACATAGAAACAGAGAAATGAGGAGATTATAAATGAACAGATGAACATGACAGAAACACTGAGAAGTTACTGCGTGATTCTTCATGTGCTTCTAATAATAACTTCATCGTGTAAATGACTTTATATGATTTATCAGTAACAATTACAGTAATGTTATATGAGTGAACATTAGTTAAAGCATCATCAATGTGATTTATAGGGGTCATGACATAATAAAGATTAGGCCAAGATGTAGATGAGTTCGTTTCTTAATCAGAACCTATTTTGAGAAATGTAAGATTACATCACAATACAGAGAATCCTCCAGACCATCAATGGATGGCTCGTGAAGCAAAAAGCTGCGTGTAAGAAACAAATCCATCATTAAGGACTTTTATCTTTAAACCATAATCAATATATAATGCTTCCTCCAATGAACAAGTCCATCCCCTGTTGTCCTCTCACATCAAAATCCACCAACATATTTGTTTAGAACGGTTTTGTTTGTAAATGTTGCTTGATCTGTGCATATTTCTCTCCTGATTCAAGATGGCCTTTTCATCGGAGAAGGCAATATTATGGATAGAAGACTCATATTTTAGCTGGAAGCAACAGTTTGAAGTTAAAAACATCTTGATGCATTTGTTTCTTACAAACACGCAGCTTTCCGCTTCACATGATGTTAATTGATGGACTGGAATTTTTTTGGACATGCTTAATTTCCTTCAAAACATCCTTTAAGTTTCATATCTTAAAACATTCGCCTCATTATAAACAAAGCATTTATTCAACCAAGTTCCAAAAATTGTTTGTTTGGATATAGAGCTCAGCAGATGCATTCCAGAAGTGAAAACTCCTTTCTTTTTCACCATAGGGAAATGGATTTTTAACAATAACTGAAAAACCTTGAAAGACAGACCTGTTGTGATGTCTTTTCTGAATCAATCCTATTGGATTCATTTGGATTTTGAGATTTTCTTTATGCAGTTTACAGCTCCTTTTCAGCATGTGTGCATTCACTGACATCTTTTCTGAGACGATTCTATTTGATTCATTTGGATTTTGAGACTTTCGTTCTGACATTTTTAGCCTTGCACAACCTACACACCAGTAGCTCAACATCCAAAGACAACTGCGCCTAAAGATAATCAGCTACCACTAGATGGCACTAGCCCCAGCAACATGCCCATTCCTTTCTTTATGATTTTATGAATGGTGCTTCACACTGTCCATGGGGTGCCCTGTTTCACACCCTTTTATAGAGCCATTTGAGGGGCTATGTAGTGTACACCGTTTCACCTAAAGTCACCAAAATTCAAACACATATAGATCCCATACAGCTTTCATGCCGACAGTCAGTGTTCCACCCAAAAGGAAGTCGGCTATTGTGGGGATTTTGAAAAACACATGCTCTGGATTGTGATATACTTGTCCTGGGTTTTTCATTTGATCACCACCAAACTCTGTCAACATGATCTCAAGACACTGGGGATGCTAAATTACGAAGGGATTTTTGATAACTTGAACGGTTTGGTTGTGGTGAGGTGCTAAAATTATGGGAAAAGGAAGAAAAAGTGAAATAGGAAGTGTGTTATAGCTTCAGCATACATTGACTGATTTTGATCAAACTGCAGCTGTTAGTTCTTTGAAGGAGTCTGACCATATTGATGTGAATATTGTGAGTCTCCTTTATAGCACCACCAACTGGCAACAGGAAGTGTTATTTTCAAAATTCTTTAAAATTATATTTTCGTCATATTATACTTACTTCAACGTTTGTCAGCATAATGTCAAGATACTACCAATGTGAAACTGCAAAGGGATTTTTGATATATTGAATACTGTTGCCATGGTAACACGTCAAACTTTAATATTCCTCATAGGTGTTTTTGTGGCATTTAACATGCTTAGAATTTCATGAAAATTGACACAAAACAGTTGTCGACAGACACTGGCAAAAGCTCATAAATGTGCGTGGAGGAGGGGCTCTATAGCGCCTCCTTTTGACTAATGGGTGTGGGTGTTACATTTACCTATAGTCACCAAACTTGGTACATATATTGTTCTCAACAAGCCAGACAACTTTCTTTCTACTTTACAGTCATTAGCTACGACCAACAGGAAGTCAGTTATTTCGGTTTGAAGGTGGATTTTTTCCCCCTGAAAATTCAAACCAAACTTTGTCAACATGATGCCAAGATATTAAAAATTCTAAATTGTGAACAGTTTTTGGATATCTCAAATGGTGTTACCATGGCAATTTATTAAAATAATGGCAAAAAATGAAGCAGGAATTGTCTTAGATCTTTAAAGTGCATAGTTCAAACTCCCCAAAACTTTTTACATATGGAGAACAAGTCATTCTGAGGAAACATGCTTAGTTTCAATGAATTTCTGATGCTCTGGAAGTTAACAACAAATTATAAACTATCAGACATTTCAACTGACAGATGAATGCTATAATACTAATGCCGTCCACTAGATGGAAGATAAGAAAAGGATAAGAAATATTTTTCTCTCAGTTTCCATTAGTTAGAATGACAAATAAATGCATAGAATCAGTTAATATGTACTGTACTGGCAATGTAATTGTATATAATTGCTTTACACATTCTTATAAATTATTAAAATAATTAAAAAATTCTTATAGATCATTAAAAGTTTTATATATTCTTCCATTTCTGTGAGTGTATCTTTTTCACACTCTTGCTATTCTAGAGTAACCCTTTCATTGCTTAAACCCTAAAAACCAGACTGCCAGCGGGGCCAAATGCATGTGCCTGCTGTGCACTGTTTTCCTGAAGCGCCCAGGGTGGCAGTGCTTGTAGCTATATTTGTGGTTTATTTGTAAAAAGCTAGAGTGAGAATTCAACTGCTCAAAGTGGGTAGGAAAGACAATGAGACCATTGTGAGTGATGACATGATGAGGATGCAAGACTAGCCAAGGAAACATTGTGGGATGAGGCTTCCCAAGATGAGCAGAATCAGCTGACTGAGAACATAGAAAGCAGCTGTTTTGAGGTAAAGGCCATTTATGAAGAGCTATGTCGAGTGCAGTCTTCTGAACAAGACTTGTGGCACAGGATGGATGCAGGTGTATCGCTTTCGGGATTCATTAACCAATCATAACAGTTTCCATTTATTGACAAGCCTTAAAGGACCTGCCCCTTACACAAACAGACATCATCAAGCACAGATCTAAATGTAATTGTTGTAAATTCAACAGTTTGAACATAGAGATTCAATCATCAGCATATTAATGTCATGCAGCTCAATACTGGACAATCACACACTTTATGAATGACCACACTAAATCAAACAAAATAACTTGTTTTAAAAATTGTAAATAGATTATGAAAAACTATATTGTACTTTTATACTCTACTGTAGCAATTAATGTAAAGCTCATTTTCTCCTGTTGCTTCAGCTGTAATACTTACACATTTGCTTCAGTTGTTCAGAGATCTCAGCTTCATGTCACAGCAGTACATAGACACATAAAAAAGAGGAGATTGAAAGTAAATGAACAGTTCTTCATGTGTAATCACTTCATCATCTGCATTACTTTTTATTAATGATCAGTAACAATTACAATATTCATTCATCCGATTCATTCATCGGTATATTAATATCATGCAGCTCAATACTGAACAATCACACATTTAATATGGTTGAATAATTAATAATTGCACTAAATCAAACAAGCAGAATTAATGATAAAAAATACTGACAATGAAAAATCCTATTATATATTTATACTCAACAGTTGCACAATAAAGCTACATTTTCTCTCTCTGTATCAGCTGCAATACTTACATATTTGCTTTAGTCGTTCAGAGATCTTCACTTCATGTCACAGCAGCACATAGAAACACAGAAATGAGGAGATTTTAGGTGAATGAACAGATGAACATGTTAAAAACACTGAGAAGATACGGTGTGATTTCTTCATGAGGCTCAAATAATCTCTTCATCATCTGCATTAATTTATATTAATTATAAGTAACAATTACAGTAATGTTGGAGCAAAACTCTACAGGAAATTGAGGGACAGAGTTGAGAACAACTGAAGTACAGTAATGTTGTATGTGTGAACATTAGTTAAAGCCATCGTTAATGTCAATTAATGTGAACAATAATTTCCACAGCATTTACAGTGTCATGTAATTTTATATTTAGAACTTTTATAACATAATTACTGGCGATGAAAAATATTATACATTTAAACTACTGTAGCACAATAAAGCTTATTTTTCTCTGGCTGTACAAGCTGTAATACTTACATGTTTGATGGTGTTCAGATATCTCAGCTTCATGTGTCACAGCAGCACATCGAAACAGAGAAATGAGAAAATGATTTTGCAGATGAACATGCAGATAGAGTGATTCTTTGAGTGCTTTAATAATCACTTCATCATGTAAATTACTTTGTATTAACGACATGTTACAGCTTACAGTAATGTTGTATGCTAAAGTCACTTTGACTTTGACATATATCTGGCAAATCTATGGTCCCTAACCCACAAAAAGGATTAACTATTTATCCTCTACCAAACTAATAAGGACTTTTTAAACTTTGCTGCTCTGTGTTTCATGGAAACATGGCTGAATGCAGCCATTCCGGACAAGCCTGCTTTGACTGCACTGATTAGATAACCTCACAGACTCTGTAACATCATACATCAGTTTCTGTGAGGATATGTGCATTTCTACCATGACTCATTTAACCTACAACAATGACAAACCATGGTTCACAGCAAAACTCAGACAGCTTCATCAGGCCAAATACTACACCTACAGGAGTGGGGGCAGAATCTCATATAAAACGTCTGGTGACACAGACAGTACCATGGATTAAGATCTTGAAGACGACTATGCTACACGAGTATCTTCAATAAACTCTTTTCCCCTGACCTTGGTCTGGCTTACTTTTCTTTATGTATTAGAAGCATTCTAATACATTAGCGAGCAACCCAAACCTTTGCTCAGCCAAATACAGCAAAATCTAACAATTTGGCGAGCCAGCCAGGAGATACAGATAAGACATCTCACCAACATCACTGCAACAAGAAGTGAACAGAAGAATCTGGGAGATTCTACAGCTTCAACTAAAGATCAACAGAATTTATTTGAATCATTTGGACTTCATCTCAGTGATCCTAATTTGGTGTGTGAAACGTATCAGCTCTCTTAAAAGAACACATTTTTGAAAGAAGCAGACCAATGTTCTTAGTGTAGCACTGTTAATTATGCTTGATCCTTTTTCTGGAGTTGAGTGAATTCTTAAAGAAACAAATTAGTCTGTTTATTTGGAAACTGTAGAAGCTGTGGCTTGGTCCTTGCTCTTGGTGTCTGTAGGAGTTATTAAATAATCAATTTGGTCCTTTCATCTTGAGATTGTAGAAGCAGAGGCTTGGTCCTTTCTCTAAATATCTGTAGGAATTGTTAAACAATTTCATACATCCAAAGACTGTAGAAGCTGCAGAATACGCAATAATTTGGGACTAATTGCTGCATGAATGTAGGATTCTTAACTTGGTGCTAGTCGGTAGCCAATATTTGGATTGGGAATAAAGACTCTAACAAGGTTTTTAAAAAAAAAGGGAAAAAAGGGATGGCCTAGTGTAGGGAAGTCTGAACTATATATGCTGATCGGGAGATTGTGTTAAAGTGTCAGTAAAAACGATACAGGATTCAGAACAGTCTGACTTTTACTGTTTGTATGTGTGGTCTGAAATAAACAAATAACATATCACAATAATATAGTTACAACATAACAGGCACGGTGCCAGAATTTTTTCTCTACCGGTGCTAAGGGGGGGCTAGACCAATATGTGGGGGTGCTAAGAAAATGAATGATATTGATGACGTCAGAGTTACTTCATAAAGAAATGGGGCTAAACCGGAGCTATTAAAAATTCTGACGGGGCTATAGCCCCCCCTAGCCCCGGTGTAGCGCCGTCACTGCAACATAAATACATGATATTATACATCTGACACAATTATTAGTGGACTGCAATACTTAAATTGCCCTTTAGATTTAGCATGTATAACAGGGATTGGCGATTTCTCTGTCTATTACAAAGTGCTGAGTCATCATCATATATGAAAGGGATTACAGAGAATATGATAAATACCAATATCTAAACACTTATTAACTGGTTTATGTTGCACCAAAGCAATAATATATAAGGAATAAAACAAATAAATAACTTTATATGCACAAACTATAATATTTATGGTAACTAGGTCAGCGTGAGTTCGGAGAACTCTGAGGAGACAATAAACTCGGTAATTTATGCTGAATAAAATGGTAACATGGCAGAAAACTATATTAAATGGCGCAAAGAAGTAAATAGACTTACATTTCCACATGAACACAAATAGGTAAAATTCCAAGGTTAAGTTCAGGAACTCAGGAATACACGTTCATTCTGTTTGCTCCGCTTGCTGACAGGAGGGATCGGAACTTTCTAGCTCGCACCTATCGTCCTTTCCCAACGTCAACAATAAAATGCACTGTGATTGGTTAAATCTCCTTAACACCTAGTGCCAAAATTAAGGAACTATAAGTTAATTTGCCTTCCATTGAAAGATATGAAAGGAGCACATCAACGCAAATGGAGCAGGGGTGGGAGATATAATTTTGAGAAGAACCGAACCAGTTATAATGTGCATTGGACCTCATGAAATGGCTTGGAGAAATTACACAACCTTTATTGGGGCTTGACACATTGCTGAAATTTATCTCATCACTAACCTTTGAGGATGGCAAGGCAACATGGAATTTGAGGAGGCTTGTAAAAACTGACCTACAACAACACTGTATCTGATCCAAAAATAAAGATGACTGTGGAGTGCTGCAAATGACTCCTGTATCTTTCACTGGGGAACTTTGTTTTCCGGTGTATTGGCTGACAGCTCTCCTGTCCCCATGTTGAGAGAAATCAGGAGTAAGTGCAGAGGTCTTGTGTGCGCTGTGTAATTATGATGCTTACTGTAGTTCTAGACTAAATGTGAACAGGCATTTACTCATGTCTCTTGCACAAAAACAGATTCAGTATTCCTCAAAATGAAAAAAAAGTGAAATACAAACTCAGAATATGACACATCACATTTTATTAACCAATGTCTTTGCTGCTGACCTTCAGTGATTCAATTCAACAATATAGCAAAAAATGACTTTAGATAAACAACTTTTGATGTGTTTTTTTTTTCTTTTTGAAGAGAACTGTCTTTTCCTGCATCATATTCTTCATGCAATCCAGAATGGCAGCACAACTGAAAGACTCTATCATATGAACGGCTCCGAGATTTATAGGATGCAGATCCAAGTGCAGCGTTTATTAAAAACAGGGCAAAATCCAAGTACACAGTCCAAGAACAGGCAGAAGGTCAAAACCAGTAAATCCAAAAGATAAACAAGTTCAGAGGGCAAGGCAAAAGGATAATCCACAAAACAGGCAAGAGATCCAAAAACCATGAAACAAACAAGCATGAACGGCTCCGAGATTTATAGGATGCAGATCCAAGTGCAGCGTTTATTAAAAACAGGGCAAAATCCAAGTACACAGTCCAAGAACAGGCAGAAGGCAAAAGGATAATCCACAAAACAGGCAAGAGATCCAAAAACCATGAAACAAACAAGACCGAAATAATTCAGAAAGCAGTGTAACAATGTAAAACCTCAATGACACTGGTAGAGACAAATACAGCTTATATAGGCAGGACCCTAATGATCCAAATGGAAGCAGGTGCAAACAATCATCTCACATGAGAGAGAGCAATGCAGTCTGGGAAATTGATTTCATAACAGAATGTCCATGAAGGGAGAAGTGCCCTCTAGTGGCTAACGAGGGCCCACCAGATGAATACTATGACATTAATTATGAATACTATGACATTAAGGTCGCAAAATTCTGGACTTTTGGTAGTACCTAGGATATCAAATTCAGAAAAGTTCAGGAGGGAGGTGGAACAGAGGTGCATCTGGGGGCGGGATGGTGGGCCAGGTCCGTGAAGGAGAAGGGAAACAGAAAACGATGGCCGTGCAGGACTCCAGGGCTAACTGGGTAATACAAGCAGCAAATGTCCAGGGTCCAGCAGAAAGCCACCCTAGCAGCACCGACAGGCTTGAAGACCCACATGTCGGAGCTGAAGACCACCACAGCAGCACAGACAGACTTGTAGATCCCCATGGCGGAGCAGATGACCACCACAGCGACGCAGACTGACTCGAAGGTCCCCACGGCAGAGCAGTTGACCACCACAGCCACACAGATGGGCTCGAAGATCCCCACGATGGACCAGGCTGGGCTGAAAATAACCATGAAAATTCTAAGACCCCCAGGGCAGATCTGTCAGAACAAGCATGGCTAGACCAGACAAGCCTGTAACACAAGGCACAGAGAGGTTAGTATTGGCCACAGGGGCCGTAACAGAACAGGTAAGGAGTTCAGAGGCACCCTCCATAGGGCTTCCCAGGTTGGCCACTAAGGTCTTCCCATAAAGTTCATTTACAAGCTCTCTAGTCGTGTTGAAGCAAACAGACAGTTCATGCATTACCTCTGCGGTCATGAAGCAAACAGGAAGTGCTGGTACGACCTCTCTGATCGTGTTGGGGCAGACTGAGATTTCAGGAGTGGGTGCCATCGCCCAAAGGGGAGCTGAGTCGGCCGCCGTTTCGGGAGGATCTGCAGCAAAAGCCGCCACCTCGGGAGCAACTGGAGGTGTCTTAGGAGCAGACTCCTGGACAGGAATGAGATCGGAAGTGAATTCAAAAACTTGAGTGGACTCCTGGACTGGAGCGGATTCTGGAGCAGAATCGACCATGACGAATGAACTCGTATAGACCAGAACTGACTCTGGAGTGGACCCATAGACTGGAGGGGGCTCTGGAAAAAACTCAGACTTGAGTGGGCTCTGGAGCAGAATCATAGATGGGAGTAAACTCTGGAATGAACTCGTAGACTTGAGTGGGGGAATCGACCATGACGAATGAACTCGTATAGACCAGAACTGACTCTGGAGTGGACCCATAGACTGGAGGGGGCTCTGGAAAAAACTCAGACTTGAGTGGGCTCTGGAGCAGAATCATGGATGGGAGTAAACTCTGGAATGAACTCGTAGACTTGAGTGGGCTCAGGAACAGAGTCATAGACTGGAGCAGGCTCGGGAGTGAACTCGTAGACTTGAGTGGGTTCTGGAGTGAACTTACAGACTGGAACTGACTCTGGATCAAACTCATAGACTGGGGCAAGCTCTGGAGCAGACTCATGGGCTGAAGCAGGCTCTGGAGCAAACTCATGGAACAGAACAAGCTCTGGAGCAGACTCATGGACTGGAGCGTGTTCTTCAGTGAACTCTGAAGGCTCCTGGACTGGAGTGGACCTTTGAGTGGACTCTGAGGGTTCCCGAACTAGAGCGAGCTCTGGAGTGGACTCTGAGGACTCCTGGATTGGAGCGGGCTCTTGAGCAGACTCTGAGGACTCCTGGACTGGTGCGGATTCTGGAGTGGACTCTTGACCTGGACTTGACTCTGGAGTGAACTCAAGGGCAGAAGCAGACTCCAGAGCAAACTCATTGGCAGGAGTAGGCTCTGGAGTAGATTCTTGGGCTGGTACAAACACTGGAGTGGATTCACAGGCTGAATAAAAAGCTGCAGTCTCCATACTCACAATGTTCATTGCCATAGTGGGAGGCACAGTAAACTGCAGAACTGTCGCTGAGGCCCTTATGCTTGACTTAACGGCACATACCGATGTCAGGTGTAGATGTAGATCCTCCTAGCCAATTGATGTCAGTACGTGAGGTAGTCAATAAAACCCAAAAAACCCAAAGTCTTAAGCTCACCCAGCTCGGATGAAGGTAAAGGGTAGTCCAGGCAGTTGTAAAAAATTTCGATAAGCTCTGGATCATCATACTTGAGTCCTAAGGCCATAGTCCAAAACAACTGAGCAAATACACCTACACCCGAACCTTTCTGACGCAGGGCAATCAATCCCTGATGTCTCACCCTTAGCTCCTTCTTAGATGCAGGAGAAGCAATACGGAGATTCATGCTGCTGGATCTGAGGGGATTGAGGTTTTCTGTCACATGAACTGCTCTGAGATTTATAAGTTGCAGATCCAAGTGCAGTGTTTATTGAAAACAGGGCAAAATCCAAGTACATGGTTCAAGAACAGGCAGAAGGTTGAAACCAGTAAATCCAAAAGATAAACAATTCCAGAGGGCAAGGCAAAAGGATAATCCACAAAACAGGCAAGAGATCCAAAAACCATGAAACATAAACAAGAACGAAACAACTAGTGTTGGGCAATATGGTCATTTTTCAAATCGTCATATCACCAGTCCGTGAGATCGCCGATAGACGATATTATCGTGCATAGGCTATTTCATAACTATTTGGTGTTTTAAACCACGTGCACGAGAGAGAGGGAGCCTATGGAAGCACCACCAATCTAAATAATATACTTTCAAACATACGCATAAACTAACATGTTATATACAAAAATATTTAAAACAGCTAGTTCATATATATTCGGATACAACAGTCATACATCGCTATTAGGACCGCGCGTCCTGTGACAAGTTTGCCACATCGACGCTCTGTAGTTATCAGTCTAAAAGGTCTGCAAAATCAGTCAACGGTGAAAATCAAAAGTAGATTTATTTTAAAGACCAACAGTTTAACACTAAATATTGGACATAAACGAACACGTTAAATATAAAGTATTTAAAACAATTAAGTTAATATATTTGGAGTAAATTTAAATTAACACATACATCAGTTATACAGCGCTCCGGACCGCGCACCCCATGATGAGCCCGACGCACCACCACAGAAACAAGAATGAGATGCTTTCTAACATAAATGTGGCATTAAACTCAGTTAGTGAGGGCTCGGTTAAAATATTGCACATAGGCCGTTCAGATTACTACGAAATACCTTATATCAGCAGACTATATGTGTCTGTGTTTGTGGTTGGAGACTCCTTCACCGGTTACAGGCTTTTCATTTGCGCGCGCATGTGTGTGTGTGAGAAATACAGTGCTGAATGAAAAAGTGGGGCAATTTGATAATAATAGCCTAAATATAATGGGCCGCCTAATAATAATAATAATTATTATTATTATTCAATACATCAGTAGGAGACTGAGCCTAATATCGTCTTGACTATCGACAAAGACATCTGCTATCATCAATATCTCTGACTATCGTCGATACACGATACTATCGTCTATTGGCACAACCCTACTCAGAAGTCAGTGTAACAATGTAAAACCTCAATGACAATGTTAGAGACAAACACAGCTTATATAGGCAGGACCCTAATGATCCAAATGGAAGCAGGTGCAAGCAATCATCTCACATGTTACAAACAAGATAAAAGAAATCTGTTTTAAAATAATTCATAAATTCTATCCTGTTAAACATTTTCTCAGTAAGTTTAAGAAGGATATTGATGTTAATTGCTCTTTTTGCACTTGGAAACTGTACCCCACATCTTCTGGCACTGTAGTTATGTTAAAAAGTTATGTTATGATTATCTAAGAAAAGGTACTCTTTAATTTTAATTTGCATTTCGAAAGTGTCGTTTTTGGATATTTTAATTATGATAATGTAAATTACGAAGTTTTTGTTATTAATCTATTTATTTTGTTGGTTAAGTTTCACATTCATAAGTCTCAATTTTCTAACAAAAAAACCCTGTTTTACAGTGTTTTATAAAGAGTTGGAAAATTACTTGTGTAGTATTCAACATAGTACTAATAGAAAGGCAATTAAAAAGTTTGTGTTCTATCTTCAAAATCTTTGAGGAATGTAAAGGTCATGCATGTCTCTGATTGTATTTTTTTTCTCTATTTTCTTTTCTTTCTTTCTTTCTTTCTTTCTTTCTTTTATCCTTTGTTACCCTGGCTTTATAATGTCTGTTGTATTGTTTTGTATCTGTCGTTTAAAGCATAATAAAAACAAATAATACAAAAAATCTCACATGAGACAGAGCAATGTAGTCTGGGAAATGGAGTTCATAACAGAATGTCCGTGAAGGGAGAAGTGCCCTCTAGTTAGGCTAAAGAGGGCACACCAGCTGAATACTATGACAGACTTGTTTGAGCTGCAACCTCTACTGTACAGACGTGAATTTATATTTCCATCAGCCTGAGGCTTATTCATTTCACTTTTGGTGTGAAAGGACTTTTACATTTGCCAAAAATATAACTTTTTAAAAAAACAAGCAAGCCCAACCCAGATGAGAAAAAGTATAACGCATTACGCAAAAGTAATATAACGCATTACTTTCCATAAAAAGTAACTAAGTAACATAATTTGTTATTTTTTATGGAATGCAATATTGTAATGCATTACTTTTAAAAGTAACTTTCCCCAACACTGGTTGGACACTTCATGCACTCAAATGTCACAGCTTTAATTATGTAGCAAAGGGGGAGGGGCTATCAAACTGCAATTATGAAAGACAAAATAACTTTATAAAATTCACACATCATATGGTTGAGTACATAGTGCATAAGTACATAGTGTACAAGTGCATAGTGTATAGTAGTGCCTCATTTGGTACTCCAGTTTGTTACATTGAACAAAACAACGTGAATGGTCAGAGTAAAAATATAAATTATATCTTTAAAATGTAGTGAAGTTGACAGAACATATTTTAACCAACCTTGTTTTCATGGTACATTTATGAACTATTGTTTCACAACAAAACTCTTGCTGCATCAGTTTTAATACTCACGTAATTCTTTTTCACAGTCCTCAGCTTCATGTCACAGCGGCACAGAGAAACAGAGAAATAAGGAGATTATAAGTGAATGAACAGATGAACATGACAGAAACACTGAGAAGATGCTGTGTGATTCTTCATGTGCTTCTAATGATCACTTCTTCATCTGAATGACGTTATTTATTAATGATAAGTAACAATTACAGTAATGTTGTATGTGCGCACATTAGTTAAATCATCAATGTGTATTAGCAACAAACAATACAGAAACAATTTATAATATGGATTCATTTGTTAACACTATTGAACTACTTTAGTTAATATGAACAATAAAAAATACTTCATGTTAACGTCAACATTCACTATTATATTGTTAAAATCAAAAGTTACACCTGTAAATATTATTTAATGGATCTGATCTAACGAAGTAATAATGAGCAGTTTACTATTAACTAACATTAAAAAATGTTAGGTATTAACCCACTAAAGAAATGTCTTACTCATTGTTAATGTTATTAACATTAACTAATAGGACTTTGTTAAGTGTCACCAATAATACTTATCACATAATTTACTAGTAAATGCTCATTTATATATTTTAAACATAAGTTAAGTGATGTGTCAAACCTATGACATTTTTATTTTAAATTCAACTTACTCATTTGCTTTAGCTGTTCAGAGATCTCGGCTTCATGTCACAGCAGCACATAGAAACAGAAATCAGGAGATCATTAGTGAATGACCAGATGAACACTGAGAAAGTGTCGGAAAGCAGAACGAATTTGGAAATCTACTAGACTTAATTTGTATTTTGAGCATTGGAAGGGTTTATTGGTGTCTTTTAAGACGACAGTTAAAGCTGTGAGATCGTCTTATTTTTCTAATTTAATTGAATCCAACCGTTACAATTCTAGGTTTTTATTTAATGCAATTAACGATTTGACAAACCCGTGGCCTAGTATTGCATTGAGTTCTATAGATTGTAGATCTATTATGTCATTTTTTGTAGACAAGTTCGCAAATATAAGGGCTTAAATTTCCCCTCCTTTGGTTCAATGTGAGGATAATCCAGGTTGTAGGGAGGTATTGTTGGATTCCTTTTCACCTGTTTCAGAGCAGGATATTTGTGAGATTGTGCAACAGTTGAAACCTTCTAAGTTCCAGTAAGACTGTTTAAAGAAGTGGTTGGATCTATAGGTCCTATTCTACTGTCTATAGTGAACAGTTCTTTTGTTTCTGGATGTGTTCCGGAGGAGCTAAAGATTGCTACTGTCCAACCGCTCCTGAAGAAGCCTTCATTAGATCCTGCAGTTGAAAATAATTATAGACCTATCTCTAAACTACCTTTTATTTAAAAAATAATAGAAAAGGCAGTAAAAAAAATGTTAGGTATTAACCCACTAAAGAAATGTCTTACTCATTGTTAATGTTATTAACATTAACTAATAGGACTTTGTTAAGTGTCACCAATAATACTTATCACATAATTTACTAGTAAATGCTCATTTATATATTTTAAACATAAGTTAAGTGATGTGTCAAACCTATGACATTTTTATATTAAATTCAACTTACTCATTTGCTTTAGCTGTTCAGAGATCTCGGCTTCATGTCACAGCAGCACATAGAAACAGAAATCAGGAGATCATTAGCGAATGACCAGATGAACACTGAAAAAGTGTCGGAAAGCAGAACGAATTTGGAAATCTACTAGACTTCATTTGTATTTTGAGCATTGGAAGGGTTTATTGGTGTCTTTTAAGAAGACAGTTAAAGCTGTGAGATCGTCTTATTTTTCTAATTTAATTGAATCCAACCGTTACAATTCTAGGTTTTTATTTAATGCAATTAACGATTTGACAAACCCGTGGCCTAGTACTGCATTGAGTCCTATAGATTGTAGATCTATTATGTCATTTTTTGTAGAAAAGTTCGCAAATATAAGGGCTTCAATTTCCCCTCCTTTGGTTCAATGTGAGGATAATCCAGGTTGTAGGGAGGTATTGTTGGATTCCTTTTCACCTGTTTCAGAGCAGGATATTTGTGAGATTGTGCAACAGTTGAAACCTTCTAAGTTCCAGTAAGACTGTTTAAAGAAGTGGTTGGATCTATAGGTCCTATTCTACTGTCTATAGTGAACAGTTCTTTTGTTTCTGGATGTGTTCCGGAGGAGCTAAAGATTGCTACTGTCCAACCGCTCCTGAAGAAGCCTTCATTAGATCCTGCAGTTGAAAATAATTATAGACCTATCTCTAAACTACCTTTTATTTAAAAAATAATAGAAAAGGCAGTAGTGAAGCAATTGCTGAAGGTCGTTAATGAGAATACAATTTTTGAGAAATTTCAGTTTGGTTTTAGAGAAGACCATAGTACTGAAACTGCTCTTTTATGAGTGACTAATGATTTATTGATGGCAGAGGATGCTGGTGAATGTTCAGTTTTAGTTTTATTAGATTGGACTGCAGCTTTTGATACAGTTGACCATTCTATTTGAATTAATACGTTAAAAACATGGGTCGGGGTTTCGGTGACGGCGTTGGATTGGTTTGTGTCTTATTTGTCAAATAGGACATTTGTAGTGTCAGTTGCAGATTAAGTATCCCAACGCTCTGAAGTTGTATGTGGAGTTCCACAGGGATCCCTGTTAGGACCGATTTTATTTTCAATTGACATGCTTCCATTGGGTGCTCTAATCCGAAAACATAATAAAACATTTTCACTGTTATGCAGATGACTTACAGTTATACTTATCATTGAGTTCCAAGGATCTGAATAGTCTTGATGTCCTTCAATCATGTTAAATAGATTGTGATAATTGGTCAGAGCTCGAGTAAAAATCAAATGGAGCCTGCTCTAATTAGGGTTTTTCCGTATATTAGGCAGGTAGTAAGAAATCTGGGTGTTTATTTTGATACAAATTTAAACTTTGAATTTCATGTCAAGAAGTTGGTTCAGTCTTGTTTTTATCAGTTGAGAAATATTTCTAAGGTGAGATGGTTTTTGAATTTTAATGATACAGAGAAGCTTATTCATGCTTTAATTTCTTCCCGTCTTGACTATTGTAATGCCTTGTTTTCTTCTTTGAATCATCGTAATTTATTGTGCTTACAATTAGTGCAGAATGCTGCAGCCATATTATTGACACGAACAAAGTTATTTCATCATATTACTATGTGTTCACACTGCCGCCGTCGAGAGTGTAAAAGTGGCCGGAAGTATAAAAGATTTAAAAAATGATGCATGGACCAAGGTGTCTGACTCTGAGATTGTTGGTGTTCCTGGTGAGTTGCTGATTTGCAATAACGTTATAGTAATAATAATCTAATGATATAATAAATAATAGTATAATAGTCCCAGTTCACTTTTAAACCTTTAAATCAATTTTCCTGATTATACGAAATTCAGGCCCGTGAAGAAGAACATTATACTTAAGTGGTGAATCAGCCAGCAACAAGGCAAAGTCAATGTATTTTTCTAATGACCAGTGTGGGGTATTACGTGGCATTAACCGTGGCATGTCCTTACTTAAACCATAGCGGAAAATGTCTTTTAGGAACGTTTCATTAAAATCCACTTGGTGATAGAGTCCACAAAAGTCCTGAACATATTCCTCAATGGAGCGATTACCTTGACGGAGGCGAACAAGATGATCTGCTCATTTTCTGCTCGGTTCATTTTGCTGGTCGTGTATTCTGTAACGAATCAATCCACTGGAGGCGAGCGTAGTGAGAACCCAAGGGAAGTTTATTTACAAGGTGATCCAAACAATAATCCAAACTTGACATGAACAGACTTGTCATGAACAGACTAGACTCACCAACAGCAGAGTTACTTAAATGTGAAATTAAAACTGCCAGTAGGTGGCAGCAAGTCACTGTTAATAAGTGAGTCATTGCGATTGAATCATTTAAACGGTTGATTCATTCAGGAACGAAACACCGTCATGCTGCTCAGAGACGCAAAACAGAGCTGTGGCTGTTTTTGGAATTTTTTTTGTTGGAGAAATAGAGCAAAACAGTAAATACGTCTAAAACGTAAGTCTCTTAATATTAACTTCTTGTTTATTGAACTGTTGTATAAAATCGATATCACATTTGTAATCATGCTGACTTTTGGAGAGAGAAAAAACTTCACTTTTCGTGTGATGTTAACTATATGAAATTATATAAATATATACATTTTCTGCCCCATATCTTGAATTATGTGATCATCCTAAATGCATTTTAATAGACTGATTCATTCAGTGAAAGAACGCACTATAAATGTGCACGCGCACTAGTCTAACCTACTAGACTTCACCTAATTTATGCATGCACTCTGTAGGTCAGGGGTGCCCAACCCTGCTCCTGGCGATCGACTGTCCTGCAAAGTTCAGCTCCAACCCTAATCAAACACACCTGAAGCAACTAATTAAGGTCTTCAGGATCACTTAAAAATTAAAGGCAGGTGTGTTTGATTAGAGTTGGAGCTAAACTTCGCAGGACAGTCGATCGCCAGGAGCAGGGTTGGGCACCCCTGCTGTAGGTGTTTTGTTTGCTTTTCGCGATATACTCGATAATATCAAATCGCACATCGTTAAAACAACAATTACGATATTAATCACAGACCTGCATGTTTTCAGGGTAAAAACATGGGTCGATTTTTGCATTTGTCTGAACAAAACATCAGTTTTATTGAAAATGCTTGTTCCTTCTGACAGCAGGTGGAGCGTTTGGTAGAAATATTTTGTTTCCCCGGTAACAGCACAACACAAAGCAGCGCAGCACCGGACTTTGAACGTGCAGCGCTCATGTTTATTTAATGAAATCATAGCCTTTTGAAGTTTAATTGTCACATTAAGCCATATCGCAATTCTGGTCTTTCCATCCCCAAATTTAAGACCTCTTGAAATCATAATTAAGACTTTCTTGTACAATTTAAGACTTTTTAAGGGCAAAAAATTTTATAATAAGGAGAAAAAGAATGCAGCGGAGTGAGAAGAGCTCTAGCCACAGATACTCTTGTTATACCACGTCACAGTAAAATAGCACTATGTTATTCTCCTGACATCTGAAACTAGAACAGGAAGGAAAATGTACAGCTCATTCAGTCAAGCTGGCGGATAAGGTTTATTTGTAGTGCAACCTTGAAACAGAGCCGATCCTCCCTATACGGGAAACAGAGCCCGTATAGGGAGGGATTTTCCTCATCTAAACTATACAACACGTTTATAGGCTGACATTTTTCTGATGTCTGGACTAGACTGTCAGGAAAGTATAAACAGACAGTTCAATATATTGGTCTGAAAGTGTCTCACACATACTGCTGAAATTGCTCAAATATTGATATTAAATGTTTCCATTCTACTGTAGCACAAAAAAAGTGAATTTTCTCCTGTTGTTTCAGCTGTAATACTTACACATTTGCTTCAGCTTTTCAGAGATCTCCACTTCATGTCACAGCAGCACATAGAAACAGAAAAATGTGGAGATGATCAGTGAATAAACAGATGAACATGACAGAAACACTAAGACACTGTGTGATTCCTCATGTGCTTCTAATAATCACTTCTTCATCTACAAGACTTTATATTATTGTTTTATGTGTGAACATTAGTCATCATTAATATGAACTAACACACAATTTCCACATTTACTGCGTCATGTTCATTTATATTTGTTTTATCGCAAATTCAGTGATATGTCACTGAATGACTGAGTCACACAGTCCAGATAAAACTCAAAATAACAGAGTAAAGTACAGCAGGACTATGATTTTACCCCAACTGCTGCTAAACGTTTATATATTTCCGTGAGCTTCAAAAACAGAAGAACAACACAACATGAACAAACACTGCAAATAATTAAAGCTCGACTCCTAATAACACAAACAGACATAATCAAACACAGATCTAAATGTAATTGTTGTAAATTCAACAGTAAACAGACAGAGATTCAATCATCTGTATATCAATGTCATGCAGCTCAGTACTGGACAATCACACACTTCATTAATTACCACACTAAATCAAACAAAAGCAGAATATTTATAATACATAATAACTGATTATTAAAATTCATATTATACATTTAAACTACTGTAGCACAATAAAGTTCATTTTTCTCTGGCTGTATCAGCTGTAATACTTACAGGTTTCATTTTGTCGTTCAGAGATCTTTGCTTCATGTCACAGCAGTACATCGAAAGAGAAATGAGAAGATTATAAGTGAATGAACAGACGAACATGACATTTAAATCTCCATATGACTTGTGAACTAGGTAAGTCTTACTAATTTCAAAGCTTTATGTGCAGTTTAAGTGGTATTTTACATTTACATCTTACTGCCATGCAACAAAATTCATTTTTCTCTTTCTTGCTGTATCATCTGTAATACTTACTCTTTTGATTTTTTAACTCAGAGGTCCTGCACCAATAAAATAAAACACCAGCAGCTGCTGCCGCTGTAGCTATTAGCAGCAGAACAACAACAATCCCTGCTACAGCAGCTGGAGACAGACCTGGAACTGAAATGATATAAAGAGTCATTAGTGCGAATGAGTGTCTGATTGATAACAAACACTATTATAAGTTTTGAGTTCTGAAAGTTACAGTATGTTGTCTTTGTACACTGAAGCTTTTCTATTTTAAAGGAAGTTTGATTCCTTATGATTTGAGCCCTTTAATGTCACATCATTATTCACAGACAGCTGATAAACTACATCAAAAGACCTGAGTTACTCACCACTGACAGTAACAGTGAATCTCTTGTATAAAGTCTGTTTGTTGCTGCTGATCTTCACTGTATAAAGTCCAGAGTCTGTGGTTCTGGTGTTTGTGAAAATTCATATTATACATTTAAACTACTGTAGCACAATAAAGTTCATTTTTCTCTGGCTGTATCAGCTGTAATACTTACATGTTTCATTTTGTCGTTCAGAGATCTTTGCTTCATGTCACAGCAGTACATCGAAAGAGAAATGAGAAGATTATAAGTGAATGAACAGACGAACATGACATTTAAATCTCCATATGACTTGTGAACTAGGTAAGTCTTACTAATTTCAAAGCTTTATGTGCAGTTTAAGTGGTATTTTACATTTACATCTTACTGCCATGCAACAAAATTCATTTTTCTCTTTCTTGCTGTATCATCTGTAATACTTACTCTTTTGATTTTTTAACTCAGAGGTCCTGCACCAATAAAATAAAACACCAGCAGCTGCTGCCGCTGTAGCTATTAGCAGCAGAACAACAACAATCCCTGCTACAGCAGCTGGAGACAGACCTGGAACTGAAATGATATAAAGAGTCATTAGTGCGAATGAGTGTCTGATTGATAACAAACACTATTATAAGTTTTGAGTTCTGAAAGTTACAGTATGTTGTCTTTGTACACTGAAGCTTTTCTATTTTAAAGGAAGTTTGATTCCTTATGATTTGAGCCCTTTAATGTCACATCATTATTCACAGACAGCTGATAAACTACATCAAAAGACCTGAGTTACTCACCACTGACAGTAACAGTGAATCTCTTGTATAAAGTCTGTTTGTTGCTGCTGATCTTCACTGTATAAAGTCCAGAGTCTGTGGTTCTGGTGTTTGTGATGATCAGAGATCCACTCTGATGATCCAGTTTGAATCTGTCTCTGAATCTCTCATCAGTTTCATCATATAATGGTGAGCTCTTGGCCTCTATATCATGTTTAGCTAGGAGTTTTCCTTCCTCTCCAAACCTCCACACTATCAGCTCATCTCCGTATAGTTGAGGAACATGAAGAGCGACAGGATCTCCCTCCGTCACTGACATGAGCTTCATTTCAGCCTCACCAGCATCAATAACAGATAGAGACTCTACAAGAAAAAGATTCACAGACAGAAAATAAACATACTGAACACTGTTACTGGCACTAGAATATTAAGCTTTGCAGTTGATTAGTTAATCTCATGGTTAAGGCATATACAGATTAATAAAAGTATGTCAGATTGACAGTTACAGCTGGTTGACTAATTTGACTGGTCATGAGGCGTCTTATTATTTCATATCACAACACAGGAACATTTCATTGTTCGTATAACTGCACTCGTCTGTGTTCAAATGACAATTCATTTTAGGAATCATGCTTTGAGTTGTTTCAATACTGTTACTGAAGGAATGAAACTAAAAATATACAGTATATCTGTGTTCATTATTAAATGTAAGATTAAAAACCGTAGATTAAAATTACAATCACACTCTGCATCATGCTGCGGTTCTGAATACCAGTCATGTGATCACCTGTGACTCAATCACAGCTGTGATATTCAGAACAACAGCATGACTGTGATATTGCAAAACTAAATCTCTGTAAGATTGTTGAACACATTATAAGTAATATTTCCTGGTTGCACTTTGAATCTGTTTAATTCCGATGAATATGTATATTAAAAAAGAAACTTGGAAACATCTAATTATTCAAAAATAGATATTCTCACCATAGACACTAACTCTGAACTTAATATATGAGGTTGCAATGCTGTGGCTGATTTCTGCTTTATAAAGTCCAGAGTGATTGGTCCTGGTGTTCTTGATGGTGAGCGATCCAGTCTGATCCAGCTGCAGTCTGCCTCTTAATATCGCATCATCTTCATATGAGATTTCATTTCCATCAATTTGAGCAATGGTGGAACCTTTATCTCCAAACCTCCACAGTAGCAGGACAATTCCCTGCATTTGAGTAAGATCAGGGTTTAGAGTGACAGAATCTCCCTCCATCACTGACACTGACTTCACGTCATCTGTTTCAGCATAGAACACTCCTGCAGAACAAACAGAAAGAGTTTCTCAGAGATTAAACTCATAACACAACTGGTAATGCTGTTGAAGATTTCTCACTGTCTCACTGTTGTCTTTGTTCACCTCCCATTCTGCCTGAGACACCAATTAGCAACTTGGGTCCCTTATGCTAATATGTTTTGAGGTAATTCATTCATACACAAGATCGGGGGTGGTGTCACAGCATGGCTGTTCCCTTACGAAAATTAACCATGGTTTTATTATAGAAAAAGTGTAATTATGTTTTGTTTTTTTTGCGTATTGATCACCATAACCGCACTTTTACCACAATACCACTATGGTTAGTGTAGCAAACCCATGGTTAAATTGTGGTTACCATGCTTTAACTATAGTAACCATGGTTTTTTTGGTCTTATTTGTTGTAAAGCCATGCTTCATTTTCGTAAGGGTTCGTTGCCCCAATGCCAAATGCGGTTTCCGGTGAAACCGAAAGTGTTGAAAAACAAAGAGAATTGCGCACTTACCACACATTCTTAGCAAAAACAGAACGATTTTGAGAGTGCTCTTCATAATGTTGAAGATTCCAGAAAAATCTGATTTCGATGGATAGTTTGGGTTATACTCTCTAACCATTAGGCCACAACTTCCCCGCAATATCACTCGAGTACTCAAGCCATGCCGGCTATCAGCGGCCGTGATTAGGCCAGAGAGTCCAAACTTGCTGATATAGAGCCAGTATCGCTCAGTACGAGAGTGATATTGCTCATTTATTTTCCTCCATCATATGTTCCTCATCACATCCGTTCTAATTAACAAGTATTTCTTCTGCCTTGTCCACTCACACCACTTCTTAATACATTTTATAGGCTACCTGTCCCTGACAGCCCAACTTTTCTTAGTTCTTCCATCATTTTACCCCTTTGTTCTTCATAATTCTTGCAACTCATAAGTACATGTTCTATGGTTTCTAAAACCTGACAATACTCACACACACACACACACACACACAAAAACAAAACAAACAAAAAAAACAGCTGCTAACGTCCTACTCTTAACCTAGTCGTCATTATTTCTTCTCTCCTAGTCCCTCAATTCCTCACAGCACCAGCCTTATTTTGAACGGCATACATATGTCTTCCTTTAGTTTCAATGTCCCATTGATGTTGTCATTCTCTAATGCCTTCTTTCCATATTTTTCTTTCAGATTTCGACAGCTTAATATTGTCGTCAATGTTCTTTTTTTTTAATTGCTTGTTTAGCTAATTTGTCCACCCTCTCATTACGGAGTCCGGAGTCCAAATCAGTCGAATCTCACTACATTTCCTTTACTTTTGCTTATGTTGTCAATATTGCATATAACAGGTCCTGATGGCTATTGGACATACCTGTCCTGCGACTGTACACTGCTGACAATGAATCACTTCAAATTAAAGCTTATTTATTTATTTATTTTTCTTTTTAAATCCATTCTAATGCCATCATCATATAACTCAACTACACCTCAGATAATTTCTGGGTCGTCTGCTTTCCTCACCTCCTTGATTAACAATACAAATTGCTGAACCATGCAGTCCTTCTCTACTGTTTGCTTGATAGGTCTGCTCCTATTTTAACCTGAATCGTTCTTCCTTTCAAGTAATCCTTTATCCAATTAAAATGTATTCCTCTAATTTCCATACTCTACAACTTAATCATTAACCCTTCTCTCCATAACATATCGTACACTTTTTCCACATCAAAATATATTGCTACTACTGTCTCTTTAATTATTTGCACTTCCTTATTTCATTTTACAAACACAACACTGAATCCATACCCCTTCCTCTCCTAAATCCACTTTGGTATTCGGCCACCATACGAATAATATTCAATAATACACATTAGCTTCTCATTTACCATTCTTTCCATTAACATACAGATATGAGACGTCAGGTCAATGGGTCTATAATTTGTTGGCTTTCTAGTATCTTTCCAAGGTTTTCTTATTGGAACAATAGGTCTTTGGCACTCTTACTTCTTCCCACACTTTATAGCATAAATAACGTTTTCTTCTCCTTCTAGTCCTCTGCATGGGTTGTAATAATTTATGACTACAGTTTTCTTTGGTACAGATCTCTACACTGATAAAAAGGATTTTGTGGTGAAGTGAATACAACATAAAAACAAATTATTTGGGTAATAATTATATTGAGTGGACATATTATCTTCAAAGGATAACAAGCTGCCTACTTGCTTACTTACATGTTTGTAAGTGAACCACATGCTTTAATAGCATGGTTGTTTTCCAGTGCTACATTGTTTGAGTCAATTTTATAAACTGTAACTGAGGGAAATGTACTTGAGTATTGCATATTTAACAAAATAATTAAGTAGAAATTACTTGTCAAACTCTAACTGGCATGTTAAATTTACTTATTTCCTTTGCTAATTTTACCTAACTTAGTTAAGTAGATTTGACTTAATTCAATACTTATATTTTACTTAACATTTATGTGTGCAGTAAATCTACTTATTGTTTTTTTCAGTGTACTATTACATATTCTTGTTCACTTAACCAAAACACTAATCACTCACTCACTGCAGAGCCAATGGGTAGAGCACTACTTGTCCACGCTAGTGTGCACTGTGGCTATTTAGATATAATTTAAATTCTGTTGCTTTTAAATGAAAATTAATATGATTAACAAGGCATTCAAAAGGTCTTGCTATTTATTCTTCCCCCAAAGTTATGACCATTCATTTTTAGTTCAGGGAAGATATAGGCTATGTTAGTTTTTTTTATATATATATATATATATATGCAATGCTTCAGACTAGCAGCACTCTCATCTTCAGCTCTTTTCTTGATATTACAAAACGTTCAACGTTTATTATAACTAGTGATGGGAAACCGAGGCTTTCTGAAGCGTTTCTGAAAAACGGTTCATTTTTGCGCATTATCGACATCTAGTGGTCAGACTTGTTTTCTCAACCAACAAATCAATGCAGTACACATACATACATAAGCTACATAGAGATATTCCTTGCCTTGATATATTATTCACAGAAACATCGCATGGACTTTCAGGACTTGTTCAAGACAATTTGATATGAATGTGTCCAGTTCCTCCGGATAATCAAAGAATCAGAATCGAAAGCAGAAATCAGAATCAGAAAGAGCTTTATTGCCAAGTGTGCTTACACACACACAAGGAATGTGTCTTGGTGACAGAAGCTTCCAGTGCACGGACAGGATAACAAGTGACAAGACACAGATAATGAAATAAACAAGTGATTAAAAATAAATATGTGAAAACAATACACAATAGACAAAAAGTCAATAGATAATATATTGAATGTACAGATGTGCTATACACAAATTATGCAAGGGAATGTGGCTAGATGTAAGATATGTTAAATCAATCACATATGTATAATAAATGTAAGTATGGAAAGTATCCTCTGCAGTCTCCTGAGGTCAGTTTTTGTAGCTGAGCTGAACCAGACAGTTATAGAAGTGCAGAGGACGGATTCAATGACTGCAGAGTAGAACTGTTTCAGCAGCTCCTGTGGCAGGTTGAACTTCCTCAGCTGGTGAAGGAAATACAACCTCTGCTGGGCCATTTTGACAATGGAGTGAATATGAATGTCCCACTTCAGGTCCTGAGAGTGTCACAGTGTCTGTTTGTGGTGCCCTGGACTGGCCACTTGAGGGCGCTCTTCCTGTTTCTGTGTTACATGTTTTGAATTCCGTTTCCCATAGTCCTTTGCTTTGTCGTTTTGTTCTGATCATTATCACCTGACATCATCACTACTTATACCATGCTCTCACTGTCTGTCTTTGCTGCAGTATACTCCAGAGCCCGGGAGCTCACAGGGTCCACTCCAGAGCCCGCTCCAGAGCCAGGGAGCTCACAGGGTCCGCTCCAGAGCCCGCTCCAGTCCGGGAGCTCACAGGGTCCGCTCCTGAGCCCGCTCCAGTCCGGGAGCTCACAGGGTCCGCTCCAGAGCCCGGGAGCTCACAGGGTCTGCTCCAGAGCCCGCTCCAGAGCCCGGGAGCTCACAGGGTCCACTCCAGAGCCTGCTCCAGAGCCCGGGAGCTCACAGGGTCCACTCCAGAGCCCGGGAGCTCACAGGGTCCGCTCCAGAGCCCGGGAGCTCACAGGGTCCGCTCCAGAGCCCGCTCCAGAGCCAGGGAGCTCACAGGGCCCGCTC